TAGTTCACCCCAAACCCCAAAATCAATTACTCACCCTCATGTCATCCGAAATCTCTGTGGAACATGATATAAAATGAACACTCATTGGCCTGCCACGTTCTCAGCCGAGCCCAGGGCTGGCTAAAGCTAGTTGGAGTGAGAAATTGTTTTAGCCTCTGCCATTGTCTCCTCACTCCATTCAGTGTGACACAGAACGAGACCCAAAGGAAGGACACTGTCCTGTTGAATTACCTCACCTCCCTCCCTCCCAGTGCATTATAGACACAGAGCCTATACCTGCAAGACTTTAATATGCAAATAACCACAGAAGGATTGTGACATCTTAGATGCATTTTACTTTTACTACTTAACTAAACCGCTATAAAGCTGGAGTTAGTTCACCCCAAACCCCAAAATCAATTACTCACCCTCATGTCATCCGAAATCTCTGTGGAACATGATATAAAATGAACATGATTGTTTATCCTTAAGGTAGTGTTATTTTAGTGTTGTTTATATACTATGTATTCATTAATTTAGTATTATTTTAATATTTTCAGTTTATTAATTTAAAGTTTCAGTAATTTTGTTATGTGCTTATGCTTTTTTTATTAGTTTTTTACATTTCTTATAATTATTATTATTTTTTTTTCACATTTTACTAATTTTAGTAAAAAAAAATTCATTCAGTTAGTTGCCATAATAAATCTAATGTTCATCTAATATTTATATTTTATGTTATTTCAGTTTTATTTCAATTGTCAAAAAAGTTATAGCTAACAAAGCTGCCTTTAAAAAGTGTTGATGATGCAACGCCAGTGATGTCAATCACCGTTGGTTCTCATGTGTGTATCATCATAATGTGACAAATTTGAATTGGTGGGAGTTAGATTTGTGGTGAATATAGACTTAAATTAGAGTGTTTTAAATTAGAGTGTTTAAAGCTACTGATGGCTTCAGAAGAATTGGAATATAGCCAAAAAGTCATTTTATGTTACTTCTGTGCTGTTATTTTGCCATTTTTAGAACCGTTTTGGAAAGTGTCTGGCAACATTCAGTTTTATTGTATAGAAAAGAGCATTTAGACCAAGGCCCATCACTTTTCCAGTGGTTTGTTATTATTTATAAGGATTCCAATAGGACTAGAAATCAGACTTATAAAATTAGGCTTCTTCATATATCCAGGTTTTTCAAACACAGTTGTTGAGGGGGTAAGAAAAAGTTATTTTGGCTTATTTGAATGCTTGTTTATTATTTTAAATCATCTGGAGGCTCCCTTAGAAGTTTGCTGGGGCCCCCTAGTGGATCCCAGCCTTCTAATTTAGAGCCACTGATTTAAGGTATTCAACTATGCTTGTTCCACAAATTAAAGAAAGTTTGAAATGACATGAGGGTGAGTACCGTATTGACCCGAATATAAGACAATGTTTTTTTCTTGGAAATACATCTGAAAAAACGCGGTCGTCTTATATTCAGGGTCTAGACTCTAGACTTTGACAAATACACCCTACATCCACAACAATAGGTGGCGACAAATACGCATAAAACGAGTGTGCCATGAAATACGTAATGTAATGCGTGTTGTAAAGATCGCGAGTAAAAACAAAAGAAAAAGAAAACCTTACAGCTGCATGAGCCGTGACTGTCACGTTTTTTCAAACCCAGATTTGAAGACTACAGTAAGATTTAACTTCTACTGTTAATAAGATTTTGGTAGGCTACTAATAGATGGATAGCCTAAATGTTCTAATTCAGATGGTTTTAAATGTGATTGTTGGTACATTTTACCAGTTTTTACCATACTTTCAAAACAAAAATTAAAATAGGAAAAATATGCAATATGAAAATAATTGAAGACAAAATGTGTTTTACTGAGAAAAAACAAGATTTGGTTTTTAAAAAGCCTTTTTCCAAAAGGTACATCTGGAAAAAGGGGGGTCGTCTTATAATCAGGGTCGTCTTATATTCGGGCCAATACGGTAAATTACACTTTTCATTTTTGGGGAGAACTGTTGCTTTAATGACAAAGAATTGACATTTTTATTCTCCTCCAGCACTTCTGCTGCATTTAATTGAGAATTGTGTCCCTGGTAAGTCCTGGTGCCTTCAGCTGTCACAGTCATAAATGTGTACTGATCACGATGCTACATAGTCTTTTTTCTGATGAGCACGTCTGCAAACTCTATAAGGAAGCGATTAGCAACTTTCACATATAATAACAGGGCAACTAACTCTGTGCATAATCCACTTCTGTCTGTTTTTTTAAGACCCTCTTGTTTCTGGCTCTGTGGGGCGGTTCCTCCCTTCCTCCCGTTCCGAGCTTCTTTTTCTGTTGATGTACTTGCATTTTATAGTTTTCTTTTTCCATTTGCTCTTTGATGCGGCCGAGACTCTGTTTCCCATCACAGCCTGTGATCCAACCACAACAAAGGCATCACATGGCGATACAGGGGGAAACTGGATGACGGAGTGGGGAACGATTGGAGGTGATGTTATTACGGCTTGATGAAGGGGGAAAGCTCATCCTCAAGAACCTACAAGTGCAAATGGTCACGTCCCCCCCCCGCCGCTCAGCAACCCACACTGGGTTTTGACTACCCATTCATCTCAATGACGGACCTTCTTATCTGGTTCTTCCCAGTCTACTAGCTGTTTCCCTACACTGCCGCAACTTAATTATAATTGCTACCCTTCCTCGGGCCCTTCTTATTTCAGCCATCCCGTCTGGAAACCTTTTCTGCCGAGGTTAGCCACAGCAGCAAGATGTCGCCTGGTTTTCTTTCTTCTTGATTGCAGCGAGCATGGCTTCCACAGTGCTGCCTGGACGCTGTCCAAGTGTTCTGTGGCTTTTAGGGCTGTATTTTCTGATTGGATACAACTGTTTGGGTTGTGCTAGCAACAGCGCAAATGTCCTACCACATATGTAGCTGCACCCTACGTCCGTTGGGCCTTTTTCAGAGCCAGCCACCGGAAAGCATTTGCCCTTTTTGAGGCGAGCAAGCCTCACACAAATCAAAATGATTATCGGTGCGCACTCGTTTGAGGCGGTCCTGCATGAGGTATGTTAATTGCATTTGATTAATGGCGTTCGGGAAATTTGTTTAGGGAAGCTGTGTGGTTTTTTGATTTGTTGCATGATGCCCTGTACTCATCCCCTGAAGGAAGGGCTCAACCCACATCAGCGGTACATCTAGACAACTCTGCTAAATAAACAGAGGCTAATTATCTCCGAATCTTCCCTGTGCTCCAAAACACTGGAAATATCGGCAATACTTCACTCATTTGTTAAGTTTATTAGTATGTGTGTGGGTCAAAGACGAAAAAGGGTTTAAGCATAAAAACAATACGTGTAATGCTGCTTTAAATTGTTGTTGTTCTGTTTCTGTTTAATTTAATTGCAATTTTGTTTTTGTTTTTCTGAGCAAAAAATAAATATCATACATTTTTCCCTGATTTACAGAAGAGACCCACTAAAATGTCATTCAGTGTAACAATCTTGTCAGGCATATTTACAACAAAAATCAGTTTATGACATATTAAAAGACTAATTACTTTCACCCCAAACCCGAATTAGTTAAAATTTGCCACGATCCTAGGTTTTGCCCATTTGTCAGAAATTTATTTTTTACTCATTTAAAACACAATCAAATTTAATATGCTCCCTTATTCTTTTATATATTTTAATATGTACACGTCAGAATAAGCATGTTGTTTGAATTTTTACACAAATATTGTGTTACACTGAATGACAATGTAACATTATTTCAACCAAATTTTGACATTTTATTCTCCAAAAACTTATTTGAAACCTTAAAAGTAGACACCGTAATGTGCTTTCTGTGGACATAAAATCACTTTTGTAAATTTATTTTGATGCAGACATCTTAACGTCTTTGACCCGTGTATAAAATGAGTGAAAATGTCCCTATAAACCCTTAAAAACAAAGGTTTTTATTTTCATTTTATAAAGAACCTTTAAGATCTATGGAACCTTTCCATTGTTCAGAATGTTCTTTCTAGTGGAAAAAGATTCTTTAGATTTTTACCAAGAAAAAATTGTCTTTTTTTTTTTTTTTTTTATGGAACGAAAAATGTTCTTTTGTAGCATAATTTTGAAACCGCCCTTGATTTTTCAAGTGTAGAATATCTGGGGAGCAGAATTTGGGCTCCTAATCTTGAGTTGACCCATTAAGCAACCACCCAGAACATCATGGGTGCATAGCAATGGAAATGGAAAATATAGGTTACTTATTATTAATATTCATATGAGATGCTATTTTAATTTTGTTGGTTTTTGGAGATCTTGGAGAGCAGATCAGAATGGAGATGTTATCAGATTTTGAGGTACCTCACGTATGAAAGCCAGGGTTTAAATCCACGCTCTCGCCACATACCAGCTTCCATCATTCAAACCAGAACTCATCCAAATGAGATGCTTTGAAGTCTGGAGCTTAGAAATACCAGCAGATACCCTTTGATGGAATAGTTACCCTCTTGTTTATTTTGACTGTGCATAAGTCTTGGGTCTGTTGTTTTTGGTTGAGAAAAGGGTCCATATGGTTGCCTTCCAGAAATTGTGTTCCTTTTGGTAGTTTAGCTTTTTGCTAGGGGTTCAGAGAAGGGTAAGTGACACGGTCGTCTTTTCACCACACAAATGTAATTTGGGAATCACTAACCTGAATCATAATTGATTTATTTATTCCGTTATAAAATTATTCACCCCGCAGCGTTATGACTCATCCTGGGACAGCAGACTTGCATGCTTACAGATGCAATAACATCTGACTATGACAATTTGAGGGTCAAACTCAAAAAATGACCATAACCGCAATGTCTGCCAACATACTGTATTTTCTAAATTGTTTCTATAAAATCATAATAAATTGATCTCTATCAAATTATGTAAGACGTTTTCTGAATATTTCTGTTTGTACTAGCTACCCACAGTTTTCTGGATAAAACGTGTTGCATTTACGTCTGAACATTTGGATTAAAAGGATATTTTCTCTCGTGTCTCTCAGAGTGTTATACAGCAAATGGAGAGGACTACAGAGGTCGACAGAACCAGACAAGCCTGGAAGGAGGAAGACCGTGCCTTTTCTGGAATGAGACTTTCCAGCATCCATACAACACCATCAAGTACCCCAATGGAGAAGGAGGTCTTGGACCACACAACTTCTGCAGGTCAGGCAAATACTGTCGGGATGGAAGGATAGCAAAATAATAGTGTTCTGTAGAATTTTGCATGATGAATACAAATGTGCAGATGTTTAGCATTGCAAAAAATACATGTTACTCAAAGAATACACTGGAGTTCCACAAAAATGACATTAGTACACTCCTAAAAATAAAGGTTCTTTATTTGCATCTATGGTTCCACGAACATCCATGGAACCTTTTCATTCCACAGAAGGCTGTTTATAGTAGAAAAACAGTTCTTTAGAATGTTCTTCACACTAAGATAAAAAAATGAATCTTTTAAGAAATGAGGGACCAGAAATAGTTCCTTTAAATATGAGAATGCATTTTAAGTGAAAATAACCAAGAGGGACATTGTTGCAAATTGTAAGAGACATTGTGTGATTTTTGGCGATGTGTTGTAAGAATTTTATTGACACATTCTTCAGTGTCAGAGTGTCATGGTGTCTCAAACATTCACATCCTCAACAATACAGATGTTTTATTCATCTGAAAGTCTCTTTGACCATGAACTGTATTTATATCTACTGTATAAGCATCCTAAAAACTGTCGGGGAGAAGCTTTCTGTTTCTCAGAACGTCACACTGCAGTGTTTGACTGTGGTCCATGAGCGTAGGTTTATTTTTTGTGCCTGTCATTATGTGGACTCAGCAGGGCTTGAAGAGTTTACATTTGCAAAGTCGCCCCAAATCCCTCTGTCCCGAAAAAAAAGCAGCAGAGTGGACAGTGCGGATGACCGATAGCCTCTTTCTCTCCTCAGCTTCACATTTATTCTAGATGCACGAGCTAACCCACAATGCAAGAAATAAAACATGACTGTCATAGGCCTGTTTCTGTAATATACAAACTGGTAATCCGACCGAAGTCTAATCACAGATAGATTACAATATGCTGGAGCTTTTGGTTCATGCGCACGTGTAACACAATATTCCAGCTTTATACTGTTTATAAAGTTTGTCAATTTCATAAAAAGCATAAAAGTAGCAGTGTTTTCTAAATCTGTTGGAGTTTAGAGTTTCTCACAGTTTCCTCAGCTGTTATGTCACTCCTCAGACTGACGATAGTAACTGGAGTGGGATCAGAAAGCTCCAAGTAGGAGATGAGAGATGGCATTTAAGAGCACACTACTGCTGCACTCTTTTAAATGCTTCAAGGGATAGTTCACCCAAAAAAGAAAATCATGGCATTGTTTACACTTCTTTATTTCTTGAATCCTATACGATTTTTCTTTTTTCCATTAAACACCAATGCAGGTATGTAGCAAAACACTATCTATCTATCTATCTATCTATCTATCTATCTATCTATCTATCTATCTATCTATCCATCTATCGTTCTATCTATTGTTCTATCGTTCTATCTATCGTTCTGTGGTTCTATCTATCTATCGTTCGTTCTATCGTTCTATCCATCTATCGTTCTATCTATTGTTCTATGGTTCTATCATTCTATCTATCGTTCTATCTATCGTTCTATGGTTCTATCTATCTATCATTCTATCTATTGTTCTATCCATCGTTCTATCGTTCTATCTTTCTATCTATCGTTCTATTGTTCTATCATTCTATCTATCTATCTATTGTTCTATCTATTGTTCTATCTATCGTTCTATCATTCTATCATTCTATCTATCGTTCTATTGTTCTATCATTCTATCCATCATTCTATCTAACTATCTATATCTATCTATCTATCTATCTATCGTTCTATCCATCTATCGTTCTATCTATTGTTCTATCGTTCTATCTATCTATCTATCTATCTATCGTTTGTTCTATCTATCTATCTATCGTTTGTTCTATCGTTCTATCTATCGTTTGTTCTATCGTTCTATCTATTGTTCTATCGTTCTATCTATCTATCGTTCTATCTATCGTTCTATCATTCTATCGTTCTGTCGTTCTATTTATCCTTCTATCGTTCTATCTATCGTTCTATCGTTCTATAGTCCTATCTATCTATCTATCTATCTATCTATCTATCGTTCTATCTATCGTTCTATCATTCTATCGTTCTGTCGTTCTATTTATCCTTCTATCGTTCTATCGTTCTATCTATCTATCTAGCTTTATTTGCTGGTTTTAGCTGTTTTAAGTTAGTCTCCTAGCCTGAGTCCATAGAAAGTGCCCAACACTATTTTAAAACCCGCTAAACAGTTCAACATAACAGGTTTGGCCAGGCTGGAGAAATGTCACTCTTCCTTTTTTCACCCTCTCTATATATTTTTTGTTCTCCATTAGAAGGAAGGGTGAGTAGGTGACATAATTTTCACTTGTATGCGAACAGTCCCTTTAAAACGGCCTGTCTGTTGCTGTTCAACCATGAGGAGGGGTGCTGCGGTGACTCTGTATATGTGTGTGCGTTTAGGTCCAGCAGACTGTATGATATGGGACGTGAAAGCCGGATTCAGAGCGGCAGACAGAGATTAAGTGAAGAGAAGGAGATCACCGTCAGGAACACCGGTGTTGATTTTAGGCACACGTTTGCATGGTGTTATGTCTGCTGGGTGTGTATATAGCAATGCCTTTCTGTATCATAACAGGTTTTAGAACATATCTATCTCTCTATCTGTACATATGGTATGAAGTTCACTCCTGATCAAAAGAATAGTAGTTTTTAAGAGTTAACAAGAGTCAGGGAAAAGGAGACAGGTGTATGTTTTTTAAAAAATATTACAAGCATGATTTTATGGTCTCGGTTACCTGTAAGAGAGGAATGCTTCTGGAAAGCTACAAGTGTGTGTTTCTTTAATGATGTCATAAGCTGATTGCATCTCTTTGTTTTCTTGTCTACACGCCATTTGATTTGAAAGGAGGAACTACAGTCTTGGCATGTTGAGAGAGCCAGAGCCAGAGAGCGAGAGAGAAATGGAGGTGCCAAGTCCTAATATCCCTCACATTTCATCTTTATTGTGTGCTGTAAAATAGCTATGAAAACATTGAGAGATGGGCCTGAGAGTAAGCGACCTATTAATCATGAATAAAAGGAGCTATGAAGAGTCAGACGGAAAGGTCTACAACTCATCAGCTTCCTCTCAGACCTGTTCTCCACAGCCTTTTTCAGATAGAGCAATCATAAATCTCACTTCACTTTTAGTAGTACACTAATAGCAATGCTTAATTGAGGTTTTAAGTAAATCCCATTAATAGAAGCAGAAGGTGTAGTATTTTTACTGTTTATTTTGCAAATGCTGTGTATTCAGTAGGGCTGGGTTTTGACACAAATTTCACGATTCGATTCGATTCTCATTCACAAGCTTGCGATTCGATTCGATTCAATTTAATATCGATTATTTTGGATTTATATCAGGTACACATGCCAAATTTTCTCAAGGAAAAAAATTCTCTTAACTAATGCTGTAAAATATCCATGAGAGTCAGTTGGTACTACATTACTATAATATTGAAGGTTAAAA